GTCCAAACGAACAGGGTGTTGAGTTCTGGCTATGAATATGTGAAAAACCTGATATTTTTTCTTTCCACACGTTTTCCTTCCTGTACGTTGCACTGTATAGTATAGTCAAAACCAAACAAGAAATATAAATTTTAGCTAATTTTAAATTGAATAATAAATAGGATGAAACAAGCATGTGACTAAATTTTCATCATATAAATGTTAATTTGGCAAAGTTTGCTTGTTGTTTCTATCAGCTCTCTTAGTACACTTAATGATTTTTGAGATGCAACTTTATCTATAACCTTTGTTTCTTTAATTTGGGAACTTAGAGCATCTCCAAGAGACTCTTTATATCTTTTCTAATTTTTAGGAATAGAGATTTTAGTGAAAAAAATACCCACCAACGGCCTATTCAGTTGGATATCTAAATATAGATATCCTCTATTCTGGATTTCTAGCTAGCCAAAGATGCAAATTGAGGATCTAGATTGCGCACAAGATATAGAAAAGTTGTGGAAGAATAAAAAGATATAGAAAACGATTTTTACTCAATTGACTCTCTAAACGATGATTTAGAGAGTAATTTTAGAAAGCTCTTGGAGTTGCTCTTAGTATTCTTGATTTCCATATTATTCAAATATATCTTCTCCAAAATAACCTTTGATAAGCAAATAGGAGAAGGTAAGATATATATGATCCTATTGTTTGAACTTTACAGAACTCCAAAAATTGCCTAGTTGTACAATGCATACTACTTTTTAATTAAAAGATTAAATAAGAATAGAGCGGAGTTCAGTTTCATTAGAATGGAAATATTTGAGAGTCCTCACCGACCACTTTTTCATCCTTTCCAATTTAATGTTTTAAAATTTTACTACCTTCAATATATGCATCGTTCCTATTAATTTTTTAATGTTGTTTGTTGTAGTCTTCAACTCTCAAAAGATATATATGACACATTGTATATTATATGCATTATTTAATTGAAAAGGATGTAGAGAGCAAATGGTTGTCAAAGTTTGTGAGTTCTCAACATCTACTCATGGTCCTAATCAATTTAATGTTTTTGACCATTTAAGGTCTTTTAGATATCTATTTTCCTATTGCTTTTTTGTTTGACTGTGCCATGATCTCCACGTGCTTGTCTCCTATTTGTCAAGCTTTTGAGAATAGCAAACGATAAAGATTAGCCTAGTGTTTGTACTATTCCTCCAGATTTCCCACAACTTTTACATGCATAGTCTTGTCACTTTTTTTTTTTCTCAAAAAGACAGATGGCGACATAATGATCAGGCACTATAGTTACTATGTAGAGATATACGAAAAGAACTGAATCCCACACCCACTATGCCCTATAGTGTTTCAATTTTATAAGATGTATCGAAAGATAGAATCAGAATAATACACTCTAATGTGAACGTGCATATGAATAGAGTTGGAAGTTACTATACGGTTTTAGCCTTGTACTGTGCAAAAACATATATCAGATATATAAGATAGGAGGACTAGAAAGCTACACACTATGCATCAAGATTGACACTAAACTTGCTTAGTATAGGCTTGCATATTGGGGTGTCTATTGGGCTCACCTGTTTGCTAATGAATCTATATCTATATCTATATCTATATCTATATCTATATCTATACATAAGAATAAAGAGGCAAAATTTCTAAAATTTTTTGTCCAACTCTAATCTCTATTTGGATTCTGTTTTTTTGTCTGGTAATCCTCCTTTTAAAGTCCCTTCGGTTTGGATCAAATCTCTATCTCTATTTTTTTCATCCAACACTAATCTCTATTTGGATTCTGGTTTTTTATCTGGTAACCCTCTTTCCAAACTCTCGTTTAGTTTGGATCTAATCTCTATCTCTATCTCTATTCTCTGTATATGTTACACTAAAAAATATCTACGGTTATCGTCGTATCGCCCCATGTCTGCCCCATGCCTGCCCCATCACCCCTCTCCTGCCCCGCTCTGAGTCCATGCTTATCTCTTCTCCATGAGCATCTCTTTTTTTCGCGGAATTCCTCGTGTGCCATTAAAAAAGATCGCAATGTCATGTGTGCCCCTGGAAAAGTTCAGTGGTCTTCAGCGCCATTGCTTCAACTTTTTTGTGCCCTCCATGCCACTGCCGTCAGTTTGGGCTCTAACACCGTCAAACAGCAGGTGTGAAAAGTCGAAAATACCCTTAAGTCTAAATATGTCATTAATTTTTTTGAGCATCTTAATGACTTCAAATGAAAAAACTCAAAAATAGAAAGTTGTAGATCTCGTCGAGATCTATAATTTTCATATAAAAACTATCTTTATTTAATTCCACAAAAAAATATGATTTGATATGATTAATATATCTTAGAAAAATTATATCTTTTTTTGCGAAATTAAATGAAGATAATTTTTATATGAAAATTATAGATCTCGACGAGATCTACAACTTTCTAGTTTTGAGTTTTTTCATTTGAAGTCGTTAAGATGCTCAAAAAAATTAATGACATATTTAGACTTAAGGGTACTTTTGACTTTTTTCACATCTGCAGTTTGACAGCGTTAGAGCCCAAATCTTTTTTAATGGCACATAAGAAATCCCTTTTTTTTTTGAGGAATTCTCCATGTGCATCTAAAAAAATACGAACCATATCGTTTCCGTCGACCCGCTGGCCTCCTGTCGCTCCACCCGGCCTGGTTGGCGCTGCATGAGCCATGGGTATAGAGCCATGCAGGCGTGCAGCCTTGAAGCTGCGCTGGTGCAGGAGCAGGCGTGGACTGGCTTGGATTTTGGTCCAACGATACCAAGTTTTTGCATGGACGGTCAAAGGATAGAAGCTGATCTCTGCCATTGACGTGAACAGAAGAGGAGAAAACGGAGATGAGATACTGAGAGCATTCACTTGTACGTGAACTAAGCTTGATGATGATAGCCGGTCGAGTTCGAAAATTAAATGAGCCTAAAACATTAAAAACGCAAGTTAATTAATTAAACTAAATTAAACACCTAAAAAAGTATGGAGAGTTATCGTCAGCGCTCCGCCGGTCGCCCCTCTCTCCGAATGAAAAACGTCTGTGCCGGTCACCCCGCTTGTCGGATTTTTTTCTTCCTGTTGCGACGCACAGGCACGTTTGCCAGTTAAAATAAAGAGCAAGGCTTAGGTCGATCTAACTGCTCGGGTGTGAAACCTTTCAACAGCAGCACGGCCTCACGGAAACACGCCGCCATCCCTGTCAATCTTGTCCAACGCGCGGCTCGCAATGGCGCTCGGATCATCCTGGTTGTGTCTTCGCTTTGGGGCTCTAGCCTGGGGCGTGTGTTGGGTTTGGGGGGGGGGGGGTCTGAATACTATGGCCAATTCGTCAGTGGTTTTATCCAGTAGAAACTGAAGCCAGCACACTGTAGATAGAAGGAGATGATAACTGAAGAAGGCAGGATTTAAATAATGAGAGGGGAATTCATCACAGGCACGAACAAGGTTTCAAATCCGCCCCTGGTCCCGGATCTTCTCGCTACAAATCTCCACACCCGTCGCTGCATTTCTCTTCATACCTCGAATTCTGCTCTCTCCCTGCTTCTTCCCTCTGTCCTCGTGTTGCTCCAGCCTCCGGGAGGTTCTTGCAAGGAAGCTATTGCAGCAGGTAATCAGAAACCTCGAATCTCTTTGGGCTGCACGGGGATGGGGTGTTTTTCTCGGAGTCCTTGTATTTCTAGGGGGGGCGTTTCGGTGTTCCGCACTTCCGCGATTACATTCTCTGCTGATGATTGTGTTCGTTTTCAACATGATGAAGACATGGACGCGGACAGGTTCCCAGCGGGGCTACGTGTGCTCGCCGTCGACGAGGACCGCGTCAACCTGGTTGTCTTAAAGAGAGTGCTAATGGTTTGCGACTACAACAATGGTGAGTGATTCTTTCCCCCGATTCCATTGTGGTCGAGGCTGAGGCTAGCCAGATGATGAATCCTTTGAATTCCTTTTCATTTTCGTTTGAATCCTTGTTTCTTTCCCCCCGATTCCATTGTGGTCGAGGCTGAGCTCAGATGATGAATCCTTTGGGTGAATTCCGATCCTTTTCATTTTCGTTAGAATCCTTGTGGTGTGATGCAGTGACGACAGTGGCAGACGCATCGACAGCACTAGACATGCTCAGAGAGAGGAAGGATGGAGACGACCAGTTTGACGTGGTCATCAGTGACTTCTTCATGCCTAATGGCATTAACGGCCTCAAGCTCCTTGAGCTCATCGCCCTGGAGATGGATATACCAGTCATCGGTATAGCCCTTGCATTGCTCAAACTCAACTACTACCATTTTTATGTGCATAGCAATCTTCTGAGTTCTGATGCTTCTTAGAGTAGCAAACATGATTTGAAGTAGGATCGGAGTTCTACTTGTTTCCGATATGGTTTTGGATTGACTCACTGAATAGGCCGTAAATACCTCTCTGTTAGCACCTAGCACGCAATGTCCAGTAGATCTGTTGATTATTGTTAACGACTCAATGTTCAGGTGTCCTCGTTGGCTAATAGGATACCAATGAATGGTTGTATGGCAATCATATGGCCTGATTTTGGGATGCATGTCTTCAGTTGCAAACTTGCAATCAAGCTAATAGGAACTACTAGTTTTATTTTGTTGTTTGAACTTTTTAAGCACTTCGGGTTAGCCGAACTGACTACTTAGTTTTGTAATTTATAGTTTGACTAGCATTATGCCCGTACCTTGCAACGGGTATTGTTCCGTCCACTTGAGAGTTGAGAGTTGAGAGTTGAGACTTCCCTTCAAAATATATTTCTTAACTTCGCAACATTATGAGCATCTATCTTGTCAAGAGTATGCTAAATTGAAGTATTCCTCACTATAGGCAGACAAAGGCCTAAGTGCAGCTTTCAAATTCTTTGATTTGCTCATTCTGTGGTAGTTGTCCTCAGTCCTCACTACTTGCTTATTTCATGTTCTCTGGTCCGAAAGTTCAGCATTTTGCCCCTCTATTGCAACCTTACTGGGGACTGGTCTCTTTGTAGTTTGTATTAACTTCTCTTGACGGTCCAATAACAGCCCTTGCACTGTTGCTTGTAGCCTGCAAATTAAAAGGAAATGATTAAAAACATATGATTATTTAGAAAACAATTTCGACACATAATATATGGTGTCATCTTACAGATTTTCACTTCAGTACAACTCATGAATGGTCCACATCTGTCTTGGGGAAATGATCTTTTTTTCTTTCTACATGAACCTGACCAAACAAGCAAACACATAGAGGCAAGGAGTAGATGTGTAATACGTAGCAAATAATTCATCAAGTGTGCCGAGGCAAAACCTGATATTTCTTTTACCTGGATGGCTACACTGGGGCCTCAGCTAAACCACAACAATTGGTTATTTTTGTCCCCAGCATACCCCCAATGATTTCACCATTAGTAAATTTAAAAGGAAGACATGCACGCATCGTTAGCCAAAAAGTGAATCCTAAAAACACTTAAAGATTTTATACTCAAGATTCTATTGTGTCCAATGTGTTGCAACGGGAGCTAAATAGTTGACATACAAATAAGAGCAGCTCGAGTTCTCTTTCCCACAGTTCCATCACTACTGGATTCAGGTTCTTTGCCGAGGTTCTTTGCCGAGTGCCTGAGGGACTCGGCAAAGGCCAAATCGCACTCGGCAAAGCCTTTGCCGAGTGCGGCACTCAGCAAAGAGCACACGGCAAAAAATTGATCGGCAAAACCCTCTTTGCCGAGTGTCATTTATCGGGCACTCGGCAAAGAAAAGCGACCGTCACGGCACCGGCCCCGTTGACGGTCTCTTTGCCGAGTGCCAACCCTGCAGGCACTCGGCAAAGATTTTTTATTTTTAAAAAAAAAATCTTTGCCGAGTGTCCCTGGCCGGCGCTCGGCAAAGTTTGAATTTTTTTTAAAAAAAATTCTTTGCCAAGTGCCCTCTGGCTGGCACTCGGCAAAGTTTGAATTTTTTTTTAAAAAAAATTCTTTGCCGAGTGCCCTCTGTCTAGCACTCGGCAAAGTTTGATTTTTTTTTTAAATCTTTGCCGAGTGCCATGGTCATGGCACTCGGCAAAGCTGGAAAAACGGTTTTCCGAGCGCCCATTTTTCCAGCTTTGCCGAGTGTTGTGACCATGGCACTCGGCAACGGGGTCCTTTGCCGAGTGCAACACTCGGCAAAGTGACTCAAAACGGCAATTTTTTTTTTTACATTTCATCATGACAAATAAATTCATACAAACATATATCACATATATATCTCATCCATCATATATATTCCAAAGAAAAAAAAATGGTACACGTAACATTCAGTGCCATAGTCAAGGCTGAAAAGCAAAGTCATCACAAAATTGAAAATACACTTCTAAAGTGTGCTTCAGCCTATATATTCAGCATAAGCAAAGGCTGGGCCACATCCACCCTAAGCACCCATCTATTCTACTCATTTGCTGCACCCATCTATCTCTATTCATTAGCTCCTCACCAGTACAGCAATACATTATCAATTGTAAAGGGGAAAAGACAGGAAAAGTACAATCACATATGACTTTCTTTACTAGGAGAAACACCTCACATCACTATCAATCAAACTCTGATGAGAAATTTGGACTCCGTAGACCATCATTGTTAGTCCTAAATGACCATTCTAGGATCCAATCAAATGTACAACAATACCAGCAGGAACATTCCAACCAATCACCTTGGTTTTGGTAAGAGCTATTCACAGACTTACATTTTGAAATATACCCTTTGTCCCATTCTTCATAATCAGCTTCAGCCATGTCACCAGACTCTTCTCCTTTGCTGTCCTCACTTTCGCTATCAGAAACACCCTAAATAAATAAGATCATAGAATAAGTCAAACAGATAGACGATAAGAATAACATCAACTAGTACAGAAGTACAGGTTTTTACCAAGGTTCCAAAAGGTGCTAGGCAGTGGCCACAGCCTAGTACCTAGAGCGCCTAAGTGTAGATTAAACGTGATTAAGTGTTTCTGCTTTTTTATAATTTATTAGATTATTTGATGCTGGGAGCAAGATCAGGAGGCACCAGCACAGATGAAGAAAAAGCAGAGTATTAACAGAGACAATTTCAGGGCAAACAAGGCACAAGGCAGCACAAACAAGGCACATTTATCAAGTTATTAGCATTTGAGAACAGAGTATCAGAAGAAAATTACGACAACAGGGAAGTAATGAGTTTTGCAAATAGCAAGTTCAAGAGAAAACAATAGAAATGTATCTCACAGAGACAGCTCGAGTGCTGCAGGACATGCACGACACACAAACACACTGCAAAGACGTGCTCCATCCACCAGTTTCCACACGAGGGGGCACATGAACTGTAATCACTGACTCCCCAAGGCTCAATAGCCCCACCACGCTTAGCTGACGCACACGCGCTCCCGTACACGGTCGATGGGAAGCTGAGAACTAACAGGATGAGGGAGAAGGGAACTGGGACGAGGCTACATTGGCGGCAACACGAAGTGGTGAGGAGGCCTCGCCACTGCTTTTCCTGTGTCTGCGCTCACGCGTAGGCGAAGAGCCTAGGCGTGTCCAGAGCTTATTGGCCACACAGTGCCTAATCGACCCAGCATGGCTCCAATTACCAGCTAATCGTGTCTAGGTGCACGTTTAGTACCTTTTTTTGGAACACTGATTTTTAATCATTTGGCATTTAACATATCAGGTTCATTTACATTACATAGGAACATAGGATGCCAGCAGTACAGCACAATATAAAGCCAGTAATGTGTTGTAGTTGTATCATCATATCACATTCCATTCACATTAGCAACACAATGATGAGAAATTGAGCAAATATCGTGTTCGATACTAGCCATTTGACCCACAGTACCCCTTACAAGGGAGATGGCAGCGCTCTATATAGTGTATACCAATGTCAACCCAGAACCCAGAAATACGGTGGCAACATGTTACCCCAAAATAAGCTATCATCAAATAAAAATGAAAAAAAAACATCAGCAACAAATCATATGATCCAGCAGCACAACCAATCCACTGTTGCAGCACTAGTCTAGGCTAAATGAGCAAAATAAATGACTGAAAACAAGGTAATGGAGCTGTGCTATCCATCCAAACATCAATACTTGTATTTAATCATCCAAAACCCTTGAAAGTTACCACCTATATAATTTGTAGCTTTCTACGTACAATGTGAACTCATGGAGAACTCAGTCAGTAATAAGGCGTTAAAAATACCTCGAGGTCAAACACAGGCTGCTCCACATCATCATCCTCCGACTCCCTTACTGAAACACAACGAAAAACCCAGCAAAAAGAAAGAGAATCAAAATGTCTTAGTAAGTTGCTCGCAGATGGACAAAGCAAATTGAAATCCCCAATAGCACCAAAACTAGAGCACTAACCATCATCGGCGTCGAAAGGGATCATGTCCCGCTGCTTGTGGACTGCGAAACAGAAATCAGAGACAAAACAACAACAAAGCACGCATCAGCCAACAGGAACAACCAAATGCATGCTCTTCAGAACAAAGAAATGAGGCCTCACAGCTCCTCCATCTTACAGGCATCAATTTCGTCATTGTCAGAATCAGACATTGCCGCTAGCTCATCAGTCCGCTTGGACTTTGGAAGGCCCCGTGCCGGCGCACGCCCAGGAGTCTTCCTCTGCCTCTTCCCCATGCTAGGCTATTTCCTAATCCTAATAAAAAAACAGGTTCAATGCAAATGTCCAAAATATAGTTCATAGTGGTATATTGCTGATTACTGACATACATTGTTCAACTCTAAGATATATACATGAAACTAACGAATTAGGGAAATTACAAAATAACCACATTTTGCTTTAAATTCATAAATAAACTGTTTTGTTCTACATTTTTGCAAACCAAAAGAAATTTATGGGAAAAAATATATGCACGCTACTAACTAAAAATCAATAGAATGCAATAATAATGCTATGAATCAGACATCACGGCTCACAAATTCACGTTCCTGAATCAGTGAATCCTCACATTTGCTGTGCTGGCTGCAGTCCGCTGCCACTGCCCCTGCCCGCTGGCCGCCCGATGTCCTGGCTGCTGGCTGCCGCCGTCTGTCGGCCACTCCAGCCTCCCCCGGTCTGGTGACCGGGCCGCCGCCGGACGACTGCCCTCGCCCCTCGGGCTTCAGCCACAGCCGGACAACCACCTGCGCCTAGGAGCTCGGCTAGTACTCCCGAGCCGCTCCGGAGCCCTGCCGCCCCGCCGCCGCCAGGAGCCTCACCAGTCGCCACCGTGTAGTAGGGTTTAGGGACGGATGGGGTTTGGGGGGCGCGGGCGTGCGTGCGTGTGCGCGGTGTGTGTTTAAATCCCCTCTTTGCCGAGTGCCCCCATCCGCCACTCGGCAAAATATATTTTTATTTTTTTAAATTCTTTGTCAAGTGTCACCTGGCCTCGCACTCAGCAAAGAGGATTTTTTTAAAAAAAAATCTTTGCCGAGTACTCTCGATCTGGCACTCGGCAAAGTATTTTTTAATTTTTTTAAATTCTTTGTCGAGTGTCGGAATGGCTGACACTTGGCAAAGAGGGGTTTTAAAAAAAATTCTTTACCGAGTGCTAGCCGTTCTGGCACTCGGCAAAGAGGCTCCTTTGTCGAGCGCCTAACACAGACACTCAGCAAATTGTTTTTATTTTTTTTTCTTTTTGCCCCTAAACTTTTTTTGTAGTCCTCATACAATACCTGGTACTCCATGTTCCAATGTGGCATATTTCTTGAACTTTTTTTATATTTCTTTAATTTATTTTATTTAATTGAATTTTCTTGGATAATTCAAATTATAATTGTTAGTCATTCGAATAATGAAAAAAATAAATGAGAAAATAATATTCATGTTATTTAGTATAATGTAAGGCCGTATGCAGGAACAGACCACCAATTTCGAACATCTTGTTCACGAAACATGACCACGAACTTACGGTCGAGTTGTTTTTAAATTCTATAAAAAGCAAACGAAGACCGAAAATCTTGAAACTTGTTGAGATGTCATGATATCATATGTGGAGGTTGTGATAAAAAATTAAGGAGGTTTCGCGCAAGTTTGTCATGTACGATGCTTACCACCTGGTCGGCCTCTTCACGAAATCATGAAACTTCTTTGAAGATTCTTCGGTTTGCAAGCATCGTACGTGACAACTTGCGCGAAACCGTCTCAAATTTTTATCACAGCCTCCACATACGATATCACGATATCTCAACAAGTTTCATGATTTTCGGACTTCGTTTGCTTTTTATAGAATTTAAAAACACTTCGCACGCAAGTTCGCGATCATGTTTCGTGAACAAGATGTCCGAAATTTTGGGTTCGTTCCTGAATACGGCCTCACAATACACTCACTAACATGACTATCATTTTTTAAATTATTAAATTCCATTATTCGTACCACGTGCAGTTCAAATTTATATTTTTCAAAAAAATTAAAGTAAACAAAATAAAGTAACTAAATATATCAAAAAGCGACAAAAAAATCTCCAAATTCTAATTAGGAGTTTCTGGTACTTTAAAAGGGTTGCACAAAAAATTTGGAGACCAAAAACAAAAAAAAAACTTTGCCAAGTGCCGGAGCATGACACTCGGCAAAGGGGATCTTTCCGAGTGCCAAGAATAAGGCGCTCGGCAAAGAGGTTTTTGAATTTTTTTAGAAATTTCCTCTTTGCCGAGTGCCTCCACAGGGGCACTCGACAAAGATATTTCAAAAAAAATCTTTGCCGAGTGCCGTGTCAGGGGCACTCGACAAAGACATTTCAAAAAAAATTAAATCTTTGCCGAGTGCCGTGTCAGGTGCACTCGGCAAAGTATTTTCCAAAAAAAAATACTTTGCCGAGTGCCAGATCTGGGGCACTCGGCAAAGACATTTCAAAAAAAATTTTTGCCGAGTGCCGTGTCAGGGACACTCGGCAAAGTATTTTCCAAAAAAAAAACTTTGCCGAGTGCCTAACAGCAGGCACTCGGCAAAGAAGGACATGACCGAACACCGTTACGCAGGGTAGCCTATGCCGAGTGCCGCGCTTTTGACGAGAGCCTGGCACTTGGCAAAGAGTTCTTTGCCGAATGCCATGGCAAAGAACTCTTTGCTGAGTGCAATTCTTTACCGAGTGTCTGATTTTTGACACTCGGCAAAGGCTCTATTTCCAGTAGTGCATCCGACCTGACCAAATCTATGGTTCACCTAATTAATTATCGGGAACAAATTATTTATATATAAGTTAGAATCAGAACTGTAATGGTAGCTGCTCTACTTGTGATTGCACAAAGTGCACCGAATACAGATAATGATAGTATGCTGAAATGAAGCTTTGGAAATGCATCATATCAATCATCATAATAATAGAAGTTTCAGAAGAGCTTTATTACTTTCCTTGGATAGGTACCGAGAGAGTAATAAGAGGTATAGAATTAACTAAAGACTTGGTCCTCCCAAGTAATATCAGTTATATCTATTGGTACCTCTCCATGACATGCTTTGCTAGAATACATACACAGACACCCAATATCGAAATGTGTAACCAAACTGAAAAAAGAAATGCATTTCCCTACGTGAGAGACGTCTCAGCATACCTTTGCACCTTCAAATCAAAACAGGATAACCGATTTCATCAGCTCCAAGTTTTAACAGCTCAATGCCTCATTCAAGCCCCTGGTACCATGCCTCATTCAACACCATAGTCCTCTTAGATGCGCTACTTTTTTAAATGTCAGGTTTATTCAAATTGTTTGTGTTCCAAACAAAATGATAGGTAGATATATGCAGATGCTAAGATGTTTACTTCTTACTACATATATCATGGTTTGCCAATAAAGGATATTGAATGAAAAAAAGCTAGATTTATTACCTGAACTTCCTTGATGCATGAGTATTTCAGAACTTCCGTGATGTATACGTATTTTAAAATACTTCTTCATTGCTATGATCCCTGTACCTGTACGAGATAGCATCGGAAGATGCAGTAGTAGTTGTAACAGCTGTCCAACCGGGGGACAGGGGGTGGAATCGGGAATCCATCGCAGGAGGGTGATCATCGGTGGCCAGGGAGCCCGGCTCGACCTCTACGGTCCATGTCAATCGCAACAGGCCACCCGTTGGTCCGGACAGCATGAAGCGGATGGGCGAGGGGGCAGCGATGCACGGACGCCGGATCCAGTCGTCGTTACGATCGGCTTCGCCGCCTCGGTAGAGAGGAACCGGATGCAGAGCTATGAACAGAGGAGAGCACCGGATGCAACAACGGAGCTATATAAATGAAAACAGAGTGGATGTTGATCCATCGGAAGATGCAGTAGTAGTTGTAGCAGCTGTCCAACCGGGGGACAGGGGGTGTAATCGGGAATCCATCGCAGGTGAAGCCTTTTTAGGGTGATCATCGGTGGCCAGGGAGCCCGGCTCGACCTCTACGGACCATGTCAATCGCAACAGGCCACCCGTTGGTCCGGACAGCATGAAGCGGATGGGCGTGGGGGCAGCGATGCACGGACGCCGGATCCAGTCGTCGTTACGATCGGCTTCGCCGCCTCGGTAGAGAGGAACCGGATGCAGAGCTATGAACAGGTGCAGTGAGAGCAACGTATCAGGTGCAAACCAACTAACCTATGTAAACTAAGAAACTATCGATTAGAGCCACTGGATGTTGATCTAATAGATGGGGTGAGGGAGCTTAAGCACAAAAAAAAGGCCGGCGGGTGGGGGCTTAAGCGTAAAAAAATCTCACCTCTCACCCCATCCATTGAATCAACATCTAGTGATCCTGATTGATAGTTTCCAAGTTTATACAAATTAGTTGGTTTACACATGATACGTTACCATGCAGTGAGGAGTAGCAGGGCGTGGCCTCTTGGGGCAGTAGATGCTGGGTCCTCCTTGAACAGGCTGAAGGACGGCGGACTCGGTCGGCAGCCCGTCCTTGACGACATTGGAAGGATCGATTACACAACCATGCTAGGCTAGCACGTCATAAAAAGGATTGTTTTGCTATGGCAGATGATATGGCGGTGATCGTCGGCTAACATGGATGTCATAGAAAATCACGGCACGCCGAGAGAGAGGAAGGGGACGGAACACGGAGGGTGGGCAACATATCAGTGCACAGCCAAGACTCACGATATGATTGAGGGGGTGATTGATTTTTTGTTGCTGGTTTTTGTGACTGTTTCCTGTTTCTCGATATTCGTTTTTTGGAAAGAAATAAAAGACAAATATGAGAGAGATGAATGGGGAAAGGTGGGCCACAGAGGAAGCCTTCTATTTTCTTCTTTGTCCGGCCTATTGAAGAATAGTGCGTGTGCAGCGCTGGGACTGTGCACCCATGCTCCCCCATCTGCCTCCCCCACCCCTCCCACCGGTGATCCATCCCTCTGCTGATCCCCTCCGGTGATGGGAGGCCTCTACGACCTGGACATTGGCATAGGGCTGGAGATCGAACTTCTGGTGGATGGTCGGTTCCGTCTTCCCTTCTCCTCAAGTGATATTGGTTTTTCCTTTTGGTTGCGAGCTTTGGTCGTTCTGTGATAGGGCTCAATGCGGATTCAGTTGGCCTTCTTCTCCAATCCTGCGTTGGGGGGTCATCCATGGATTTTCAAGTTGCTCACCTCTCGGATTGGATGTATCATTTTACCCTCTCTTGCAAGAAAGTTGGTTTTCCTGTTTACA